GCAAAGAGTACCTCTCCTCCCATGCTAACACAAATAAATAAATAAATAAATAAATAAATAAAATTTAAAAAGCTGTTAATTGAATTTACATTCAGTCCATGTTAGATTGAATTGTACCTTCCTTCTCTTTATAGTATTGATGTCTAGATGAAAGTAATTAAGGAGATGTGTGATGAGGCAAGTCAATAGGGCAAAATTAGGAATCATTGAGCTACAAATGAAGACCTTGGCCTTATAGTGAAGAACTTAGTGACTAGCCCAAGTACAAGAAGGAAAAATCTAGAGCTATTAGCCAGGTGAATGACAGCTCTGTAAGCCTCGGTTGACTACCAATTAATTGAAGCACAGATAAAGTATGGGGGTTTGCAAGCAGAGGCTGGACATTCAGTAATGAACAGGACCAGAGAAGGACAGATCAGGGGTATGGGGGGGTGGGGGGGGCAAGCAGTGTGTGGGTGTGTGTGTGTGTGTGTGTATGTGTGTGTGTGTGTGTGTGTGTGTGTATGTGTGTGTATGTGTGTATGTGTCTCCTTTGACAGAGAACCCAACAAGACCTCTCCGACAGCTGAGTCTAGAGGAACAAGCAGCTGAAGAGCTGTTCTGGGGCCACTGCAGCCATGGAAGAAAGCAGGGTCTAAGGAAAGAGCAGAACAGGAGAGGGTGGTAAAGCCATCATCAGAGAGCAGAACAGCTGATGAGAACTAGGTTCAGGAGAACAGGTGGGTATGGGGCTATTCTAAAGCAGCTGAGTCCAGAGAAGCAAGAGAGGAAGGGGAGCAGCTGCCAGCAGACAGCTTCAAAATGGCAGGGCCACAGAGGAGGGAGGGACAGAAGTGTGGTGGGGGGCCTTGGGAGAGGGAAAGTGAGCTGACTCAAGAAGCGGCAGGGCCAGCAAGAGGCTGAGGCAGCTCCAAGTGACCTTTGACAAGACAGACTGTATAAAGGCAGATGAAACTCAAGAGAAGGAAGAGAGTAGCACCATAGTGGCAAGGACCTAGAAGATGGAAAGAGGGAACTGGAGAGGTTCTCAAGCAACAGGGGCTAGGGAAAAGGAGAGGAACCAGGAAAGACCCCCCTCCCACCCTGAGTAGAGAAGCCCAAAGCCAAGCAAGCAAGTAGGTAGGAAAGGCAGAGGGAACCCAGCATAAGGGGAAAAGGGAGGGTGGATGAGGAAAACCAAAGTTGCACCAGCAAAGAGGGAGGGAGGGAGGGAGAGAGGGAGGGAGGGAGAGAGGGAAGGGGAGAGAGAGAGAGAACACTTAAAGCTACAGATTAAGTAGCTAGGAGGCAGGGAGGGAGGGAGGGAGAGAGAGAGAGAAAGAAAACACTTAAAGCTACAGATTAGGTGTGAGTATCACCATATATCCAAGTAACAGCACTAAATCTATTGGAGAATAACCTGTACCTTTCGATGAGGGGACCTAAGGTCAGGAACATCTCCTCTAGAGCACTCTCCCAAGAATGAAACAGAGACACAAAGGAAAAGATAAGACATCTTTTAATAGAGTACAAATAGAAGGGTGTGCCTTGGCCGGTTAATGGGGTACATGAAATATGACAAGGAACCAGGTACCTTGATTCTTTCTTGAGACTTCTATTGAGGTTGCATGAAAACTGCATTCTGCTCAGAATCTTGTGAGTCCTGGGTATGAAAAATGTGTTCCGCCTCCTCTGGTCAATTCAGGAAGAAACAGTTAATCACATTTATCACTATTTGATTTGACTATGCAGTCACTTTCAAAGTTGTTCTGTGTGGCCCCAACTTCAGGATGGGCCTTTGAGATAGGAGACCGATAACCAAATTTATTACACTATGTTAACTTGTACCATGTATTAACTTTGGGTCAGAGAGGGACAGCTAATTGTATTTCCTGCCATCAATTTACACTTTATGTTTGTGGCAGTTGACTTCCCCAAACTGCTCTTTTGATTTACTTTTAATTCAGCAGTTTTAACAGGCAGTTTGAGGATTGCTGACATGTTAGCGTTTGAATGTCTTAAGCTGCCTCTCTGAAAATGTGTTTCCTCTCCCAATTTTTTCTGTGCTGACGTCAGCAGTTGCTGTCTCCTCAGTGGTCAGTGTCCTGCCTATACTAGTAGTGATAAATTTTAGCTGAATTGTATCTTACCATTATTGGAAAAGAACTTGTGGTTGATCAACATGAATATTTAACAAAGCAGATTTCAACGAGGTGAAATGTAATCATGGTCTTTCCACGACCCCTGCTTATAGTAAAATGCTAGAGGAGGGATATAAAATGAGGGGAAGAACTGCTGAGAGAGAAACTGGGATTTGATTCTATGAAAGTCTCAGCCTACATGCCTTGTAAACAATGAGCATTAAGAGATTTGCTGTCACAACCGTCCTGTGTAAATTAAGTCAAGAATATGGCTAACTATTGTTTTGCTAGTGTCCTTGAGGAAATAAAAAAAATGAAAACATTCAATCATATGCAGAATGTTTTGAGGAGATGTGGTCTGTGCTTCTCAGCATAAATAAAGGTTAGAAATGGGACTTTTTTCCATTAAGGATTTGTGAAAGAGCCTCTTATCTACTAACATGAATTATCTTGAGTTACATGGAAGCTCTATATGTTTTTGGAAATGTTTTATCAGCAGAAACAATGTCAGATTAGACTGAAAGTGAGAAGATGAAATGACAGAAGCCTGTGGGGTTCCCAAAAATTGTCAAGGACAAAGGCTAATATTACTCAGCAGCAACCTAGTACTACCAACAAAGGACCCAAAATAAAGGGCACAAGACTGAGAGAATGTCCGAGGGAAGAGCTTTGGCCATAGATTAAGTGTTATGATCCGTAGTATCAGAGGAAAGAGGCTTGGATCTCATGATATTATTCTTCTACTTTGAAACATAATGGAGGTTTGCATGGTCAGGGGCTTTGATATTGCTTGGCTTGAAGGCTCCTGTCTTCCTTCTACTTTCTCTCTTTTGGAATGAGAAAGTTATTGCTTAAAAGGGAGCCAAAACAGAAGGAAAACACAGAAATGAGATTCATAGAAAGGAAAATTTATTTATTTTTTTGGTCTTTTCAAGACAGGGTCTCCCTGTAGCCCCTGCTGGTCTAGAACTCACTATGTAGACCAGGCTGGCCTTGAACTCACAGACATCTGCCTGTCTCTGCCTTCTGAGTGCTGGGACTAAAGGCATGTGCCACCACACCTGGCCTGAGAAGGGAAAATTTATCAGGAAATTTTAAGCAGTATATCCTGGGTCCTGACTGGAACCAAAAAGAACTAAGAAGGACAAACTCAGGCTTAAATTGAGCACAGGATATACTTCTCTACCAACAATAGCTATCTAGCTTTGACACATGTCACATTGAGTATTTCATTGTTATTTCCCAAAACAGTCAAACATATTTTTCAAATAGGGTAATGCTCTTGTAGATGTGGGATGAACAAGTATTACAAAGAGTATCATGTTATACCTGCTTCACAGGAGAATCAAGAGTTGATAGGAATGTTAGTCATATTTAAATAAGTAAACTGAAGTAAGATGAGTCTCAGTACTGCATGAGGACAACAGTCAAACTTCTACTGGAAAATATGGCATGTTTATCAGTGCTCCGTGCAACGGACCAGCCCAGACCGGGGCAGTTCAGTCCGATGGGAACAGGGTCGTCGAGAGGGTGGACAAGGAGTCGGCGAGTGACAAACAGATGCAAAGGAGCTTGATGAAAGTCTGAGTGTAATTTTTGCAGTTGCAAGCTTTGAAATATATACAGCAAAGATTACAAAAAACCGCAAAACAGTCATGCTAAGATTTACAGTTCCAGAGGTGAAAGTAAAACACAATTTTGCCAACATATTTCCCTATCTTATCAACTGGACACTAGACAGTAAATTCCTGCTTTACTGTGGTTTTTTACTGCCAGCCTTTCTCACATACTCGGCTTTGTAGTCCCAAGTCAGGATGACCTTGGCTCATTAAGCACTTTCAACACCAGCTGTGCCTGATGTTACCTTTTTAACTATTTGATAATATTCCTTGCTTATTTGTAGTGGGCC